CCTCAAGATTCTTCCGTTCTCTAAACAAGATCTGTTATTCTTCAGTATCACTCAACCAGAGACAACAAAGAAAATATAATACTCGTCTCCAGTGTCATTTACCAGTCAGAGATAAAATTAGTAATTTCACTACAAATCAGAAAACAAACTACATTAATATAAGGAACAGCTCTACACGCATCAAAAGGTTGTTTCACAACTGTCTTTCAGATGTACTAAAGGCAGCTGCCTCACTGTGAAGTTAATTCAATAAGCAAAGGGAATGTAATTCATTTGGTACATACTGTTTGCTAATCAAAGAGTACTTCTTGGCACGTAAACTGTGCATGACAGAATGTTAAGCCTGAAAACATATTGTTAGTCCTCCAAGTTTTCATCAAATCCAAGAACGTAAGGTACGTGCATGCAAGTGAGTCTCCTCATTCAAGTAACAGAGATAAAAGCTGTGTAATGGTGATCTGTGGTCCTGGGGAGAGCTCACAAGAAACAGCTTTTTCTCCTGTATTGGTGCAGGATAGAAAGCTTGATGACTCTTTCATTTGTCTTTTTTTCAAATTATTATCCCACCAAGTATCAAGTGTTATGACAACAGCCACACCTATGAGCAAAGGTAGTCAGTAAAAAACAGAATCACAAAAAGGTTTGGATTAAGGGAGCTTAACAACCATCTAATTCTAACACCCCTGCCACGGGCAAGGACACCTCCTACTAGACGAGGTTGCTCAATGTCTTAAACACTTCCAAGGATGGGGCATCCACAGATTCTCTGGGAAACCTGAGCCTCAACAGCCTCATAGGAAATAACTTCCTCCTTCCAAATATCTAATCTAAATGTACCCTTTTTAAGTTTAAAGCCATTCTCCCTTGTCCTATCACTACACTTCCTGACAAAGAGTCCCTCCCCAGCTTTCCTGTGGGCCCCTTTAGGTATTGGCAGGCCACTGTGAGGTGTGCCTGGAGCCTTCTCTTCTCCAGGCTGAACAACCCCAGCTCCCTTGGCCTGTCTTTGTAGGAGAGGTGCTCCAGCCCTCTGGTCATCCTTGTGGCCCTCCTCTGGGCTCGTTCTAATTCATCCATGTTGGGGGCCCCAGAGCAGGGTGCAGGACTCCAGGTGGGGCTTCACAAGATCAGAGCAGAGGGGCACAATCCCCTCCCTCGCCCTGCTGAGCACAGTGCTTTCAATGCAGCCGAGGACACTGTTGGCCTTCTGGGCTGCCAGTGCACATTGCTGGCTCATGTCAAGCTTCTCATCAACTAACACCCCCAGGTCCTTTTCCTCATGGCTGCCCTCAATTCATTCTTTGCCCAGCCTGTATTGGTGCTTGGGATTGCCCTGGCCAAGATGCAGGACCTCAAACACTGTGCAGCAGGGAACAGGGTCAGGAACGTTCTGGAAAGGTATGAGCAGCACCACCTCAGGAGACTGCAACACTGCAGTTAGAGCAGGTGGGCCTACACCACAAGTAGCCACACCGAAGAGCTGCCAACCTGACCAGTTTGTTGGCTACAGAGGAATATTCCACCGTGCTCCTTCATGTGACATGAGCTGCAAAGCAACATAAAGGAGCATGGTTCGCTGCACGGTATCTGCTTGCAGTTTTCCTCAGCTGACAGATGCTGCAGCTGACAGAAACCACATCCTCCCTCTCAAACCATTGTTCTTGCAATCTTAAATAATCTCATCAGTAACAAACAATTTCAGAGATGAAAATCTGATATGTCTTATTGTATCCACAAGGATCTGAACTTTGTTCTGTTCTCAGAATTAAGTAGATAAGTTAGTGATAGTGACCACTGTTAAGATGAGGGGGAAAAATAGACAAACAAAGGTTTTATCTGAAAATGCTGAAAAGGAACATTTTTAAAATATTGCATTTCATTTAGGTTAAAAAAACAATTATATATATATATATATATATATATATATATATATATATATATATATGAATATATATATAATATATATAAATATATATATTTATATATATATTTATATATATATGAATATATATATATATATATATGAAAAATTCAGCCTTATTCCATATTTACATCGCAAATTCAATGCTCCAAAATTCAATGTGGGGAAAAAACCTCTCCAGGTACAGTTACAAAACTGTGTCCAAAAGCAACACGCTGCAAAGCTCTTTGTCAGCATTTATTAAAAAGCAGAAAGTAGCATAAAAATCTATACGTTTGCAGCGAATGCCAGATAGCACATGGGCGATCTACCTGGCCACAATAATGGGATCTGACATGTGTACTCATTCTGAAAAGGACAGAATAATGTTTCCACAAATAATCATTAGATGGTTCAAAGCAGTAAACACAGTGCAGCTGGAACATACACCCTGACACCTTTAGTATGGATTACATACTTTTAAGTTACTGATACATTAATACAGATTGGAGAGAATTCTGTAAATTCCACTAATTGTATTCCACCTTTAATTGCTCATGTATTTATTTTTAACAGGATCATCATCACATTAAGGAGCAGTTTTGAGTATACTTGATGTTTACTTTCAAAGAAGTTAACTCAATACACAAGCTCTGTTTCTGTGTAGTTTAACACATATTTCGAGCCTGTGCCTTCACGCATCGTATGCATTTTTTTTTTTTTTAATAACTACTAGGATTTCAATTTCCATACCAGCTCTGGAAATGATTTTCAAACTCTGGTTTTTTTGTGATGGTTAAAAGAGCTATGCAAAGAAGAAAAAAAGTATCCATGAAGCAGATACGATTACACACTTAGGGCTCAAGTGAAAATCTCAGTTGCAATTTGGAAAAAACAACACTGCCAGGTATTTCTGCCCAATTACTTACTAACGTTTCAAATGGTTTAGTTGTAATCTCAAAATGTGCTGTGGACAAGAGCATACCGAGAGTTCAAACACAAATCATTCAGAGCTTAGACAAACATATCCAGAAACCATTTGAACCTTTTATTTTTTCAAACAGCTTCAAGGAAACACTTTATGAGCCAGAGGGGAAAGAAAGGTTTTTAGCTGGCTATTCTATTAATGTATCAAGTTTTAAGATGAACCTGGTCGTTTCTCAGTTGTGCTACTTCATGTTCTAAAGAACACTCGGAAAGATGTTTATCAGAGAAAAGAAATCCCTGAACAATGAGGTGAGTGTTTAACAGTAAAACCCACTGGCAAAGTGGGATTTCAGTTGTAAGAAGTGCTCTTCAGATTCACCAGTTAGAGAAACACACAACCCAAAGGAGTCTATAAAAGCATTCATGAAGTATATACAAACACCTGCAAGTACAGTCACACAAGCATTTGTGAATCATATTCAACTGCCTATAAAACCATTTGTGTCACCACTTTGTCTTTTCAGGTAACATGTGTCCCTGTTTTCCTAGTTAACAGTCACTTGGGAAAGCTGCCATGAAAACAGTTCAATCCTTCTCAAAAGTGAGGCATGTTTTCTTCTCAGGGTGTCTTCACAGTGTCATAGACACCGCGCCACTCATCACAGAAAAGAGAACCGTGCTCCCAGTAGACGTTCCTGGTACAGGCACATCCAACCAGATAGCAGAACATTAGCAGGCCATTCATCTCCATTATATATTTTTCCTTTCTGTATCTTTTTTTTTTTTTTTTTTTTTTTTTTTTTTTTGTTAAGGGAAAAAAAAAGAAGCTCTTGTGCTTTGGCATTAAATTTCAGGTTTCCTAGCAAGTTGTCAAGAACATAGTCGCACATATATGCCTTTAAGCTGAAAATTGGCTGTGATTTATCAAAGTCAGAACAGTATAAATAATGCAAGTCTTGCACAGACGTTTTGCAATGTAACAACCAATGGCCTGCCAACACAGCGTTCCAAATACACAACCTCTACAGTGGTCTCCAGAGTTTCTTTCCTGAAGAAATTCTGTATGATAATCAAAGGGCTGTTAGAAGGCAAATGCACCCTAATGGTGTCTTGACAGCTGATATAGCATATGATCATATGCAGAAAGAAGTTATGCATCCTTAAGGTGTATAAGGATAGTAAAGGATGCAAAATTCTGCACTGTCAAGACTTTGCTGACAAGCCAAAATGAAAGAAAAATGATTTACTCAGTACCCGAGGCCTGGTACATAAAACAGACTTAAATAAACTCAGTGCAGCCTAAACTTAAATATTGTATTCAGTTCTGAGCTCCACAATATAAAAAGGGCGTTAAGATACTTGAAGGCATGCCCTCCAGAGGAGGGAAATAAAGCTAGTAACAGGGCTGGAAGACATGTCCTGTGAGGAGAGGCTGAGGACACTTGGGTTGTCCAGTCTGGAGAACAGGAAGCTCAGAGGTGGCCTCATTGCTCTCTGCAGCTTCCTTAGGAGGAGAAGCACAGAGGGAGGTGCCGGTCTCTGCTGCCTGGGAACTGATCACAGGACAGAGGGGAATACCACAAAGCAGCACCAGGGGAGGTTCAGACTGGACATGAGGAGAAAGTTCTTTACTGTGAAGGTGGTCAGATATTGGAAAAGGCTTCCCAAGGAAGTGGTCATTACCCTCAAGTTCTTCTCCGTGTTCAAGAGGCATTTGGATAATGTCCTAAATAAAATGCTTTAACTTTTGGTTAGCCCTGAAGTGGTCAGGCAGAGGGACTAGATGGTATTTATAGTTCCCTGGCAACTGAACTATTCTGTTCAGACAAATTTGTCCACATCCAGTGAGAAAATCTGAGTGAAGATGATCAGTGCCTATGGTGAGAAACCACATTCAAGAAAACAAAACATCTGCATTCAGGTAAAAAATAAACGTCAAGCCAATCCATAATATTTCACAATGATTTAGTGCCAGATTTTCTTTTGAGATATAAAAGCTCCTCTTTAAACACATTTCACTAAATACATTAGGATTATGCCCAAGTTCTGACTCTTAGTCACAGCAGCATTGTAAAAACAGATCTGCTGGAGTTTCTTGAAAGGAAATTAGAAAATGCAGCATTTCTGACACACATTCAGCACAGTCAGCAGACGTCACCCACCAGGAACTTACCTTTCTGTGATTGTTTCTCTGAGACCACTAGCAACCCCTTTCACCACTGTACTAGCCTTTGGTGTCAGCACTACTTGAGAAATAAAAAAGGAGCCCTTCTTTCTTCTTTCAGTGATTGATGCCTGCAGGAACTGAATCAGTTTTTCCGGATCTGTTGTGTTTGCCCATGGAGCTGGCATCATCTGGCCTGGCCAAAGAAATGGTACCTCGAGAGCCACTGGGCTGTGATAAAAAACCAGCACTTGGTGTTCCTTTTCCCACAGGTACTGGAGGCTTACTTCATGGGCAAATATAGCAGGACACATTTTGTTTCCATACGTGTCCTTGAGCATTTGGACAAGCTTTTCATGATGATATTTCTGCATCCCATAGAAATGATTGAAGTCCAAGAAGACCACTTCTTTTGGGTGGTCAGCAAGAAATGCATTGATCTCTTCCAGGCCCTCCTTGACTTTGGCACTGAATAAGCCATGAGCAAAGTAGAGTTCGTTGTCTGGGTCTCTTGGCTTGGTGGAAATCCTAAGATCAAAATACCGTATGCCTGCCCCCAGCTGGCTGGTGAAATTCATGGTCTGTGTAGCCAACCACTTCCTCATCAGCTTTTTAGCCACAGTCCCAAAAACAGACACAAAATTCTGGACCGTTTCTGGCTGTTCAGGCCCAACCGGAGAGGCTTCATCAATGTAGAAGCTAAAGGAGTCATGAGACCCTAAAAACACAACAAAGGAAAACAATCAATATTGGATTTACATGTTAGAAGGCATTAGTGATTCTTTCTTAATGAATGTAATTTTGTGACCTGTACCAGCACTTGACAACAAACTCCTCCCCTGTCCTTTTTCTCAATACACAACCTTTGTCTGGCAGCATTTACCCACCAGAGCTTCACAGGAACATGAGTGAAAGGCAGCACCTGCTTTACAGCTTATCTGGGCTCTCCCTCACTCTTTTAGCTCTTACTTAACGCCTTTTATCCCACTTAACTCAGAGGGCTCTGAACGTCAAAACAAACCTGATGTAATTCCAGCAAAGTAAGACACGTAACAAATCCCTAGAGCCAACAAGAAGATGAGAATCTGGCCCTCCACACTGAATCATGCACTGTCTAGTTTACAGAACTAAAGAAAATAATGCACTTTTATTTGAGTTGAAAAATGCCAAGGACACCTAACCTTTCTGACCTTTATTTCAAGTTTCATCTGGTCATCCATAAGGTTACTAAATGCTGTTTTCCTTCGTAAATATACCTCTAAAATTCTTTGATTTCCCTTGTTATATAAATAAAACAGAACTAAGGAAGGTATTGTGTTTCTCTGCTAAAACAGGGGAACTTCATTGTGTACCCTGGACAAAAAGAGAACAACTATTTAACATACCTATGTAAAGAGGTTGCCATTTTCTACAGCATAAGGTAGTTGCATACAAAAATACCTAAGACAATTTGCTCTGCAAAATTCTCTTTGTATCAAGGTATGTCCATTAACAAAAACCTACACACTTATTTTAACATGCCTTTAGATCTTTACATGAATGAAGCTGATAATGCTGATGTTTTGGACACCTGCAAAAACATGACAGTTCTCCATAAGGGACTCTGCCTTGCTTTATGGAGGGATAAGCTCACCCTACAAGATGGTATCATCCTTGTCTACTACCAGCTTTCTGCAACCTGTACAGACTGTCTGACCAGCCTCCCTGTCCCAGTGGTGGGGAAAGCTGCTGCTCAGAGTCACTGCAGCATGGAGAGGAGGTCTGCTCCTCCACCTGCGCCATACCACTTGCAGAACTCCTCCAGGGTCAGCAGGACTCGCATCTCCAAAATGGACTGCAGAGCTAAGCACTCAGAGACCCAACTCCAAGCATCAAAATGAGTTCGGAGAACAAGTCATGTCTTCTGCTATTGATGCTTTTTTAGGTGCTTTTCAAAATCACTTTCCAAGGCACTCATGCTGTGGCAAATAAGTATCACATTAGCGAAATCCTGCTAGTCAGTCATTTCTGATGGCGATGCTATTTTAACTGAGCTGGAACAAACCCTATAAACTGAAGTGACAGCTGTAAAATTTTCTTCTTTAACAATAAATGGAGTCATGACAAATCATCTTAAACTCTGGCTTGAATTTGGCTTTGTTTAATCTGAGAAACGTCTTAAAATTTTGTACACCCCTGCTTTCCACAGTTGTCTCTTTGAACTGCATTTTACTAATATTAGATAAGTTTTTCATTTTGATGAAGATTTCTACTGCTATGTGCTGAAGCAATACCATATTCTTCACAGCATCTGATTAGATCATGGACTATCTCGTTACACACTGATATCCCAGAGGGCCAGATCTGCATACAGAATTTTAATGGTAAAACAAATGATTAGAGCAGTGACTTATGTTTCAACAGTGTTACAGTGAAAAATCAATGAGATACATTAAACATTCTGTTCAATGTAACCTGCACTAATCTAGAAATCAAAGTAAATCCAGTCCTGTTTAAAACAAAGAGTAGTTATTGATATTATCAAGGACGGATCTTGCAAACTCTTACTTTGTCCACTGAAGTCCCTTTGATTTCAGTAGGATTTATGTCAGAATAGGTATATATGTACAAACAAGAATAACTGATTGCAGCAGTGGGCCCCAAATGGTACTAAGATTAATTAAACCATTTGCCCTTTATTGTCAGTTCTATAGTCCCTGGGAAGCTGCAGCTGCAGAAGAGGCAGCTAAGCTTGACCACCACAGCCAATATGCAATGTATACTGTGCCAAGTGCTACTTAAATCTACTGCAGTCAAGAGAGGCAGCACAGTTCTCAAGGCAGAAAACTAAGGTGAAAAACTTGACAGCTGGCAGCTACCAGCTATCACTAACGCAGAACATGGGGTGGGAGGGCAGAGGGGAACATCATAGACAGAAGCTACTGACCATTACAAGCAGGATAGGCTACAATTTTTTTCTTAATTAAGGGCCTCATGCACATGTATGAATCTAAAAACTGGGTGAAATTTCACATTGGGTGGATGGTATGGAGAAGAGGACACAGGACACTGAGAAAGTCCATGTTTTGTAACTAGAATGGGAAGGACCCACTAAATTTCAAAAAGGGAAAATAAAGCTTAATTAAACTTGGTTTACAACAAAAGGAACTGACGTGAGCTCTTCCAAAGTATGTAAAGGTTCCTCCTGACTAAAAAAAAAAAAACAGCAAATGTTTTTCTCTTTCCACATGTTTAAGTAGTTTGATCAGGTCATTTAAATATTTATTCTCATCATGCACTCATCTGTATTCCTTCTGCCTTCATCCTGCACTCCTGTCTTAACCAGCTTGCTCACCTAACTCTAGGAAATTCAAAATCCTTACAATCCTGACAGAGCAAATTAGTGTATGACCTTTTGTATTCCCATGTCCCAAATCACTGTGTTCCTGGTAACGAGAGGATCCTGTATGGATATACACTTGTTTTTAGCAAGCAGCTTTCTTTCCAATCTTGCTTTGATACACAGGGACACTCTTGTACTATTTTGCCACTGGGAAGAGGACTTGTTGGTTCTCTGTATCGCCAGATCTCTGCTCCTATAAAGAAAGGATGCAGGGTTGTCCTGTTTTGGCTGGGATTAAGTCAATTGTCCTCATAGAGGCTGGTATGTTGTATGATGTTGTGCTTTGTGATGAAAACAGTGGTGACAACATGCCAATGTTTCAGCTGCTGTTAAGCAGTGCTCACACAGCCCAGGACGTTTCAGCCCCTTCTGCTGCTCTGCCAGCGAGGGGCGGAAGGGGGGACATTTGGAGTGATGGCATTTGTCTGCCCCAGAAACCATTACAGGTGATGAGCCCTGCTGTCCTGCAGGGGCTGAACACCCCTGCTGATGGGAAGCAGTGAGAGGGTTCCTTGGTTTGCTCTGCCTGAACACACGGCCTTTGTTTTACCTGGTGAGCTGGCTTTGTCTCAATTTACTGCCTGAGTAATTGCAACTGGCCAGTTTAGTTTTGTTGGATCATGGTGCATGTATTTTAAGTGTCTCTTGATAATTGTTTCTAAGGTTGAGAGATGAGAAATGAAGCCTTTGTATCTCTGGGAAGTGTGGAGATAAGCAGACACAGAATAACTGAGGCTGGACGGGAGCTCCAGAAGTCGTCTGTTCCAACCCCTGCTCATTTGCTTCAGAAGTTTTCTTGTCCTGCATTATGAGGTTGCAAGGTCCTGCCTTGTTCAGTAGTGGACCAGCATTTGCCTTGCTTTCTTTTCCTGCTGGAGCTTTCTTTAACAGCCGGAGCTCCCTGTTGCCTTTCACACCCCTTACAGATTTTTTGAATTTAGACGTCAGCTAAACACTTCTCAGACATTCAAGGGTAAAATATGCAGTATCACTTAGACTGCAAGAGAACAGCTGCTTGTACTCTTACTATGGAGAATGGTCTCCTGTTTTCTTTAGTGAATTCCCTTAATAGGACAATTGGGAATATAAAACCCACTGTTGCTCAGCTATGGACATATTTATGGCTTCCCTGGAGGGCTAACCCCCCATTTAAAAAATAATTGGGCTCAGTGCTGAAAAAATCCCTCAGGGAGAATGTGTTTCAGTTCAGAATTGTTTCTTCAATCCCACCAGAGATTTACAGAGAGGCACAGCAAAGCTACTATTTTCAGTGGCTAAGCCTTAACACATCATTCATAAAGAGGGCAGGCACAGCTGAACTTCACTCTTCCCTCCCCTTGCCTCACTGGGAGCTCTGGCCATCCCTCTTAACAACCGCCTGGCAAATGGCACATAAAATAGAGGTACTGATTCACACAGCACCGCCCAACGCGCCCCTGACAGCAGCAATCATGTTCTGAAGATGCACAAGCCACAGCAAAACCCCAAACAAGAGCACACTTTGCCCTCCTCACCTTCTCCCACAGATTTCAAACTCCTGCCTCTGCAGTGGGAGTTACCCAGTGATTGCCAGAAGTACAGCCTTTTACTGTTGCTTTGGGTGTCATTAGAAGCTTTACCTGCTGTTGTTTCCTATATTTAGGAGATGACATCCCTTGGTGACTATTGCTGAAGCATCACATGCCGATGCAGTCTAACCTTTTGGAAAACATCTTTGCCAAGAGGGCTCTACAGAGACTGACACCAGATCACAACATTTCTCAGATGCTGCAGAGGACAGGAAGGACAGATTCCCTGACATCTGGTACCAAAGGCAACCGAAGCACATGTGCTCCCCATTTCATTTGGTCTGTTATCGTCATCTTGTTTGTCCTAAAAAAAACAGTCATACAAGGACAAAAAGCTCTTTGAATCTTTACTTAACAACATTGTGATCAAGGAATAGCAAAGTCTTCATGCATGAACACTAGACTTGCTGCAGCTTAATATTGTGTTTCAGCTTCTTTTTAAGACAGCTGAGCACTCACTACCCTCCCAGCCAAAGCCACAGCACATCTCAGGAAGTCAAAACGTGCTGCCAAGGGCAATGGAACTCAGGCTTCATAAAACCTTTAGTATTTAAACTGCTTGGGTGACACAAACTCAGTTTGGTAAAAAGACTGCCTAAGACAGCAACACAAAAGCAACTGGGGGAAAAAAGAACACACCATATATTGTGCAGTGGCTCAACCTCCCCAGAGGTAACTGTGTGGCTTATCAGCTCTTCTTCCAATGTTCATCAACAGTTGTGAGCCCATAACTTCATCAGAAGGTCTTGGGGCTTACAGTACTCATGT